CCTTTGTAAAATTCTTAGAAGTATTCGACTTGACAGAAGACCTTCAAGAGCAGAAGGACTTCAAGAGCAGAAGTGCCTCTTAAGGCATTATTGAAACAGAGGACCTTTGGTTCTCTGCTCCAGAACAGAAGTCCTCAGGATCTCTGTTAGTCTTGACTCTGACAGAAACCCTTCTGGGTCTCTGTTGGATACTCCAGACCTCCTCTGTTCTACTCTCAGACAAAGACACCAGAAGGACTGACACTTAGAAGATTTTCAAAGAACCGGGAAGTCAACTAAAAGATTCCTTCAACGGCTAGGAGTATGGAACGGAAAAGCTACAGTGCATGCATTAAATGCTCATTTAATGCACCCCATGCTACATAGAGTAATTGCAGATGATTGGCCGCAATGTCAGGAATACTTTATCCCAAAATAGTAACCCGCCAACTTTATCGGGCTATACTAGTCAAGTCAACTGATCGCGCATTAAATGCAGTTGTCCTCCTACTCCTCCAACGGGAAGACAATCTCAGTATAAAAGATACACTACGAAGAACAACCAAATAACTTGGAGATAACCTTGCTATAACTTTGCTACAACTTTGCTAACCACAAGCAAGATATTCAAACTCTGAAAAGCAAAAAGCCTCTTTGAGATTCAAACTTATTATCCTCTACAAGAGAAGGCAGAAGTTGGAAAAATACTCTTTCCAATTCAAGCAAAGTTCCAAGTGTTCTTCAACTCTTCAAGCTCATCACATACAAATCTTTTGTAACGAAGCTAGTTGGAGGAACCCCAGTTTCAACAGAAACTCTTCTTGCTACAAGAAAGACGTCCAAATAACTGGAGTAGTGAAGTGGTGATACTTCAAGGAAACTCAGTGAAAGGACCAGTGTTAAAGGAAGCCAGGCAGTGCATCCCAGGACACATCTAGGCTTGAAGAAGACGTGGAGTGCTTCTTAAGTACTAGGACTAAGGCTTTGTAAACGGCAGTTTTTACAGCTTAGTGGAACAGTGGATTAGAGGAACGAGTTGTTCCTTGAACCACTATAAAAATCCCTGGTGTCGTTTACTTACTACTTTTAATACTTGCACTTAGTTAGAACTGTATAACTCCTTTGACTTGGTATCTGTGTCCAGCAGAACTTGTTCTACGAGTTAACAGAAGGCCTTCTGCCTATTGCTTCTCTGAGGCTAACAGAACTCCCTACCAGAACCCCATCCGCTGCCAGTCTGTTCTTACAACAGAACAGGCTATTCTGTAAATCTGGTACTTAGTCTAAAAAGCTAAAAACCAATACAGTCTATTCACCCCCCCTCTAGACTGTATCCAGTATAACCGGGACCAACACAGACTCATACGGATCCATGCAAAGGAGCGATGGATTGGTAGCTCAGAAATAAGGTGGCAGACAACAATTTAGGAATGGAGAGGAGGGCTGTGAGGAGGGGTTGGGCGGTCGAGATAAATCAGATGGACAACCGAAGAGGCAATAACCTAGACCGACGGAGAGATAGAGAGAAACCAGAGAAACCGGAGAAACATAGAGAAGGTTTGAACAAGAGAGAGAGGGAGAGACGGATACTTCGAAAAATGGGGGGGGGGATGATAATGGCCGATTTAATGGGGAAGGTGGGGCGGATAGGGATTTATGGTTGGGTGGGATGGGGATTTAATGGGGAGGAATAATGGGATAAGCGGAGAAAAAAATGTAAAATGTAAAAATGTAATGATGGGAAGTTAAAAGGTGGTGGGGTCCATGTCTAAAAATAGAAATGGGACTTTTAATTTGATACATCCCGAAAAGGAAAACGGGTCAGTTAATTTGATACGGAGGGAGTAACTACTTTGAATATATATTGTGCTCCCACACATGATGCTACCTGCGTTCTTAAATAAATGCAACACTTTGACTTTTACACTATCCACATGTTCTACTTTGACTACGTTTTATTTATTAATGTAATAATATTATTTTATGAAAAAATATTGTTAAATTTGTCTCATTGTAAATTTTCATAATCTAATTTTTTTAATAATACAAAAATCATTTATATTAATGGTCAAAGTTGTGTCTCGGCAAGTGTGAAATGTTGACCGTTGCATTTATTTAAGAACGGAGGATGTATAATCTATCCCACGATATTGTTCCTTAATTTTATGACTACGTTAAGTAAAAATAAGAGATCAGAGTTCAAACCGGTGAGCGTAGCTCAACTGGTCGCAAGGGAGTGCCATAAGGTTTAGGTCCCGGGTTCGAATCCCGACAACTGCGATGAGGGGTTACTATGCTAAAAATGCATAGGGCCTCTGCAAGTACCGGAGACAGAGCTCCACTTTCTATCTGTCAGATTGAGATTATAGTCCAATTTACATCCTGCCAACGTACCATCCGGTCGGGGTTGGGGGCCCTCAATGATGGGGTGTCATCCTTTTTTTGAAGAGATCAGAGTTCAAGTTTTGGGATAAAACAACGCAATTTAAAGGCTTAAAGCATTAGTTTACTTGGATTAGTGCGGAAAATGGGTTGCCGTGATTTAAGTAAGGTCTCACTAGAAGTTTTGCCATTTTCGTCTCCCCATTATTATGTCAATCACATTTTGGTACTTACTATTAATTGTTTCATTTGTAGTTCTCGACTATTATGTAAGAGATACTTTTTATTAGTTTTTCTACTATGACTTTGAAACAATAAGTAGAGGACTAAAAATATCACTATTATATTATATAGTTGAAGAATAAAAAGTGTCACTATTTTTAAAGTTAAAAGGACCAAATGCATGTGGAATTTTCAAGGCCTTTTAATTTAAATATTACTATTAATAATTCAAGGATTTCCAATAAAGTGAGTTAAGTTTCAAAAGTCCAAAAATATGACTACCATCTCTTACACTCCAGTCAATTAAAGGGAAAAAATAGGAAAGAGTTTTAAAAAAAGTGTTTTAATTCTCTTGCCATCCACATCACCGTTACCACCCGTGCCACCAGCAATCTTGCAGCACCACCGCCCAGTGACTTGCTCCGGCCATAGTGACCGCCGCTCAGTGACTTGCTCCGACCACAGTGACTGCCGCCACTCCTGGTCAGTGACGGCCGCCGCCCTCTCCCAGTAACTGCCGTCGCCCACGATCAGTGACTGCCGCTCCCGGCCTGCCCATCCCCAGACTCCAGCACCCCAAAGTCAGTGACTACCATACGGCCCAATGTGCAGCACTGCCACCGCCGCAGCCCCACACATGCGCCCTCCCTACAATCCCTCCTCGCCACAGTTGCGGCCACAAGTCCGAAAGGCCACCAGTCACAACGTAGTGACCAACACCACCACTGTACCCAACCACCGCTGCCAATAAACGCCCCTACTGTGACTTCATTCATCAGCCCCCAGCCCCAGCCCCCTCCAAGACTTAGCCACAACCCATTCTCACTACAGCCCCTCCCCTGCCCTAGCCCCTCGCAGCCCGCTCCCCTGCCCTAGCCCCTCGTAGCCCGCCTCCTCACCTTCCAGATCTGCAGCCCCCATCACCAGCCCAACCCGGATCTGGAAATCTAGCTAATAGTTCGAGGATCCATCAAGGACAACGATGAAATGCTCCATAGGATGTCAGTCCTCAACAACGGCGAAGAACAGTACGGTCGTTGGAGGAGCGGAGAAGAGTGAAGGCGCAGATAGAAGGCGGAGCTTTGTGGATTGGGGAAGGGAAGGAGAACCTGCGCAGAGAGAAAGTGAAGCTAGAGAGAAGGCGGAGCTTTGGATTGGGGAAAGGCAGGTGCGTTGATGGTGCGCAACACGGCGGTGGTGGTGCGTGACGCGGCAGTGGTGCTGTGAAGATGTCGGCCCGTGAGATTGCAGAATGGCTGACGCTGATTGCTTGCGTCGAAGGAAGAAAGAGAAGCCAACAAGTCACTTTTTTGGAATATATCAAAAGAGTCATATATTTGGAAATCAAAAGTTCATTAGTAATAATGAGACCATTTTTTCAATTTTCAAAGGCATGTTGCATGATTCTTATAATTATGACTAAAAGTATCTTTCAAACAATAGTCAAAGCACTAAAGGGTTAGTGACATAAAGGTCAGAGTATTGAAAATGACAAAAACTCATTCTTGATCACTATTTGTTGACAGATCGAACTAATCCAAAACTGATATGTTGACCGTGTGACTTCCAAAATAACCTACAAAATAACTTGAAAACATTCTTTGTTTAAAACTTCTCACTCAAAAACTTATGAATAACTTTCACAAAATATACTACTCCGATATTTATTAATGAAAAACATTATTAAACAAATTTTAAATTTATCATCATCTAATCAGAAAGCAAAAGATGTGAATATTTCAGTAAACTTATTATATGTTTAAAATGAGAAAGTTATTATATTCTTATGTGGGGAATAAACCAAATTATATGCCTTATGTCTGCCGAAGTCATCTCCCATATCCCCATAATGAGTATTAAGATTCCTTTTAGGCTCAACATGCAACTCAACCTATATATCACCAACCAATTCAAGCACCTATGCATCAGTACAAATACCCTTTTTGCTTCATCAATAAGCTTCCAATGGACCGAAATCATTCACATGGATATATTGGAGGTAGAGTAATTATATAGCTTAATTAATTAGCTTAAAATGCTTAATTACACACAAGATGCTAAAACAACATTTGTACATATATATATAAAACAAAGTGAAAGATCACTACTTTACTGGCCGCTATAAACGAATTCAACCTTAAATAAGATCTGTGTTTATTTTAAAAGTAAAAAAGTTATTAAAGAAGAACTAGTTAAAGAAACAAAGAATTGAATACCTAGCTAGCTACCTGGTATATCTTAACCCTAAGGTAATTAGCCAGAATAATACTTCCCAAGTTAAATGAATATGATCTTGAAGCAGAATCTACGCTTCCAATAATTTCAATTCCCCACTGATCAAGGAAAGACTTGTAATTAATCCCCTCATTTAAATTATATCCTGCCTCATCTTATCCTATCTTCTACTCAAAAGAGAGAGCGAGCCAAGAATATAATTAAGATTAATTAATCTTATGCTTCATCTTAGCTGGTATATATTTCCCATCCACCGGAAGTAACCTTCTTAATAGTAGTCGCAAGCTATACTATTCTCTGCCCGCCGGCCGGCTGGCCGGAAAATCAAGAAATCAATTATCAAAAGTCAATCTGTTGAAGTCCCACAAATCCATCGGCCATCATGATGTACAATGAAATATCCCACTTCAGCCACCCCAACCACAAGATGAAGTTCGAGTACTCCGAGCTGCCGTTCAAGTGCGACGGCTGCAACGAGGCGGGTATCGGGTCGCGGTACAAGTGCGCCGCCGCATGCGACTACGACCTCCACGTGCATTGCGCCGTTCCGGCGTTGACTATTGCCCACCCTTTCTACACCAAGTGCTCCTTCCAGTTCCTCGCTCAGCCGCCGGGAAGCGTGCCGAGGTACTGCAACGCCTGCGAGAAGGGCATTACCGGGTTTCTTTACCACTGTAGTTCTTGCGGCTTTGATCTCCATCCTTGCTGCGCTAAGCTGCCCATGGTGCTTCACGACGGAGAGGTTAAGCTTTACTTGTACCGCAAGGTAATTAATCTTTGGGTTAATTAATGAATCTTATTAGTCCCTCCATCTCAATTAAGGTTGTAGGTTGAGTAGGTCAAGAGTTTAAGAATAAAAAAATGTCATGTCATTGAGTTAAGGTAAAAAAAGAAAGAAAAGGGAGAATTTGATATTGTTTGAGTTATGAACCTTGCACGTCATTTAAAAAAAGGAAAATTTCCTACTTAAAAAAGTTTTGAAATTCGAGGGTGACATATTTTTATTCTCTAACTAGAAGTGATTTCTGCTAAATTTGACAAGAAAGCTTTTTCCAAACTCAGTAGAAATTAGTCTTATTTAGGGAATAAAAACATGAAGGTCATATTTTAGGATTTCAAAACGTTTTTACTTCATCCTTCCTATTAAAAAGATAATGTGTACACCCGATCTTAGTATAAAAGGCTAAAGGGTCAAATAGGCCCTTGAACTGACTTAAAGTGTTCAATTAGCCCCTTATATAGAAAGTTCTGTCCGGCCGTCGTTAATTGGGGCGGTTTCCGGTGGAATTTTTTGATGAAGTTTTTTGAGCATCTTCTTCATTAAGTCTAGTTTACCCATACCAAATTTCATATAAAAATTCAACCGGGAAGACGGTCAAATGATTTTCCGAAATGTACTGCGCTGTTTAACTTCACAGTTATCTTCAACAAATCATTTGACTGCCTTCCAGGTTGAATTTTTAGCTAAAATTTGGTATGAGTAAACTAGACTTAATGAAGAAGATGCTCAAAAAATTTCATCAAAGTTTTCCACTAGGAACCGCCCCAATTGACGACGGACGGGAAGAACCTCCTATATAAGAGGCTAATTGAACACTTTAAGTCAATTCAAGGGTCTATTTGACCCTTTAGCCTAATATAAAATCATCTGAGTTTGATTTTTTTTTTGGAGAAATGGAGTTTCATTAATGACAATGTCAAAAATTACAAGAAAGAGGAAAAAGAAAAAAGTGAACAACTAGAGAAGAAGAACAAAGGAAGAGAAACAAAAAAGAAAAAATCCAACCCGATCGAAGTACAATATATAGTTCCTCCCAAGATAATCCTGAGTCTCCATCTATTAATCAAAATAAACTCCATTCGTGTTTGAGATATATGCGTATAAATTAATTAATTATTATCCCAAATCGGGTATTTTTTTAACAAAAGTTCGAGCACGAAGACCAGAAACATATTCGGGTGGATCGGAGATGGATTGTGTTAATGTGTCATCTTATCAACTCTCCTACTCCGGACTAGACTTGGTCTCGGCCCGGTCGGGCCGGCGGTTCTGAATAGCTGGATCCGGGACCGGCCCGGGTAGCCACCGGGTTCGGGTCGGGCCTCGGGTTTGGTTATTTTTTTTTTCTTACCTACCCATCCCTGACCCCCCACCCCTCAAGCCCCTCCTAAACATCAAGCCCAACCCGGGTGAAGCCCAAACAAATGAAAAAAAGCAAAAAAAAAATCAGTTTGGCCCGAACCGGGCCCGGCCGGGCCGGGCCTTGTTTTGGGTGACCCGAGCCCGGACCGGAAACCCATCGGGTCGGACCTACCCGGACCGGTCACTGACCGGGCCACCGGTTCGGGCCGGGCCAGAACAGTACCGGTCCCGATCCGGTTCCAGATCGGGCCACCCGGCCCGAGTCTAAGTCTATTCGGGACTTATTTTACGTGGGTGCTATTATTGCTAGTTACCGGTCTTTAGCAAGACACTTTGATTCAGTGTCTTTTCACTTTATTCATAGATCAACGAATTTGTTGGATCATACCTTGTCCCAGGCAACGAATTCTCAGGCTAATTCATATACTTCGTTATTTTCAGTACCTTATTGTATTCAACATTTTTCCTTTAATTTAATACCTCCTTCATCACATTTTAGTTAGTGAAGCTTGACTTTTCAAGTCAACGGTGCCTAATTTTGACCGATTAAATATTTATATACAGAAGTATTGATAATATGAAAATGATATGAACATGTTCTTTGTTAATTTTTTTTTATAAAAGTATAAAATTATAAAAGATTGCATATATAAATTAATTAAAAATAATTATTTAAAAATTTACAATATTTGATTTTTCTAGTCTAATAAGATAACCAACTAAAGTCTAAAATGAGACCAGATAGCATGTTACCCCCTATTTTTTTGGCCCTCAAAACAAAAAACTTTCTAAGGGAAGTCATAGACACTTTTGGTCTTTAGTTATTCCACAACTTTTAATGTGGTCCATTTCGTTTTTCTCGAAATCCAATCACTCAATTGTTCTAATTTTGTATTACTCTAATAAAACCTTGATTATTCCTTGATTCCTTGATTCCTTCCAAGCCAGGTTTGTCAAAGTTATCATTTCTTAAAGTCCTTTTTGGGTCCGAGGGGGCGTTTTATGAGTTAAGGACCGAAGTTTCAGAATTGGCCGGATGAGAACACATTCAATGTACGGACTAGTTATTTATGTTAATGTATGTCTCCAATTCAAGTGTGACAAAATTCTAATGTTCCCATCAAAAGTTAACTCATTGGGCTATTGACTTAAATGCTAAAGTGCAAATTTAAAAATCGCCAAAGTTATTCTTTGAGTGTAAAAACTGGTAAAACAAAAACAAAAACAGTGTGTTAAATGATTCTTTTATTCCTTTAGACCATTAAATTAAAATAATACTCCCTCCAATCCACCCATCCATTAAAACACTATCATCTTAATTTTTTGATGAAACAGGTTAAATTTTGATCAATGATACTCTCCGCTAGTGGTGAATCCAGAAAAAGAATTTAGTGGGGGTATTAAATATAGTTATGAAGAATAAAAACTAATAAAGGTGTAACAAAAGAAATTACAATTGTTCCTGCCGAGTTTTCATTTTTTCCGCTGAGTTTCCATTTTTTTGAAAAGATTTAATTTGTGATAGTTTTATTTAAGACCTTTTTCTTAAAGTATTACTAAAATATAATTAATGGATAAAAAGCGTCTAGAGTTACGATGTGCATTGCTTCGTGATCACTACAATGTAAAATTGAATACAAAAATAATAATCAAAGGTTACTATTTTAGTCATACTATACAAGGTTACATTTTTTCTATCATCTTTATTTTAGTCATATATATGGTATGCATATCACTATTTCTTAATTTAACTATTTAGAATAACATACGGAGTACTATTTACGTTTTGGATTTCTATTTATTTAAATTCTTCAAAAAAAGTATCTAAATAACATTTGCTTGTCATCCATTTGAATTCAATCTAACACAAATATTGCTGACCCTTACAATTGCCAGTAAATGACATTTACTAAATGACATTTTTTAGTAATCACTAACCCTTGGAGGAATTTATTACATAGAATAAGGAACTCAAAATTTACTCAAAGACGTATTATGTTTTTCATTTTCAGACCTTATAAGCCAGTACGTTAATGTTTGCAATTTTAGTCATGTAAGGATGTTTTTATTTGGACTGTAATTTGCTGGTCTGGTCTAGTCTGGTTTGGTCTGATATGGTCTGGTCTGGTCTGAACTGGTCTAGTCTGGTCTGGTTTCTTTGTATTTTTATAACTATCTAAGTCTGGTCTGGTCTAGTCTGGTCTGATCTGGTCTGGTCTGGTCTGATCTGATCTGGTCTGGGACGAATTACCGTCCAAGTAAAAACATCCTAAGTTTCAGTCGTACTCACCTAATGTTACATTTTCAACATAAACTACCAAGTATAGTTACACAATACTCATAAGGTGACCGACTATTTGTGAAAAAAGTTTGTAAAATTCCACATGTTTCATTTATTTAAGAACGAATGTATTTTATTATCACAGAAAATATTTGAATCATATTTTATTTATTAATGCGTAGATGAAATTAAGTTTTGCATAATTTTTGCTCCATATATATATATACACGGCCTTATATTGCTTGCATGCATGCATGTGATGGGAGCGGTGATATGATATAGGTGAGCGCATCGTGCCACCGGTGCGGGAGAAAGGGGCGGAGCTGGAGCTACCGGACGGCATGCAAGAAGTACAACCTGCACGTCGCGTGCGTGAAGGAGATGCTGGTGGATAGCTGGCATCAGATTTATTCCGGCCGGAGATCATCTGGAATTAGCAGCAACTCTTATTATGATGAAACTGGGAGTAGGAAACTGGAGGCGGCTGCCGGCGGTGAAATCCCGAGCCTGAAGGGCACTTTGCAGACATATCATAGTAAGAGCAAAGGGAAGAAAGTGGCGAGATGCTGTGAGGTGGCTGTTCTTGCTCTCCAGTTTGTCATTTCTGCTCTTCTGGGAGACCCTACCACTCTCATTGCTGGTGTTGTTGCTTCGCTCATGTCGAAATGAATCCAAACATATCAAATCTTAATAAGTTTATTTTGTCATTTCTGTTGCATGTTCTTGTGTAGTTTAATGCATGAATGAATTGCATCTATATATTTCTCTTACATCCAACTATATATATATGCTTTTCACTTCAACTTGTCCTTCTGATTCCGATCTAGTATTCTACGATCAATGTAAATTATTCTTAATTAAACGTTTACTTTATGTATCCAACTTGTATCAAATTTGACTTTTTATGACTTTATAAAACTTTATCCTGTAACTTTCTGCTGTTATCATTATTGATCCTGTAACTTTATTTAAGCACTTGAAAATTTAGTCATGTAACTAATAAATCTTTGCAATTTAAGAATTCTTAATTTCCACCGGAAAGTACAGAAAAATCCGACGTCGACGACATCTTTTCCGGTATAGTAGCTTTAATTTGGAAAGTGTACTTTTCAGGGAAAAGATCCTTATATTGTAAATATTAATTAGTCACAGAACCAAACTTGCAAGTGATTACGGTTGCAGGACTAATAACGAAAATTGCAAATTGGCAACATATCATGGTGTACTCTAAAAGATTTTTATAGGGAAAACTATCAGATAGGCCCTCCTACTATACCAAAAAAAGCGATTAAGCCCTCGTACCATAATATTACCCAATTGAACACCTCAACTTTCTTTAAACGCCCAATTTCAATTATTAGCCGGTAAGATACCGGTTACCTGAAAAAATTCCCCCCGGCTTCCTACGTGTCGCAAGCAATCCTCTTTGGTTCCTCTAAATATCCCCGTCACTAATAATCCAAGTAAGCTATCCTCTCTCTCAGATGCAGCTAAACTCCAGAGCATTTATACCCTAGGACATCGATTGTTCATCTCCAGAGGGCTCGGATGAGACGACAGTGAGCAATCGATAGAGAGCAAAGGATTAAGTTCCGTACATGTGAGGATGTCTGCTACTTCGATATCAACACCCCAAAAAGGAAGTAGCCGCACTCTTCATTATGAGCCTCCGTTATACTGTAGTTGTGGTCTAAAGGCGCCTCTATGTGTTGCAAGAGAAAGCGGGAGGGCCTTTTATGGTTGTCAAAAATGGAAGGTAAAATTGAAATTATGTTAAATGTAATCTGATTGTGATTCTCCCTGAGATTGATGCGGTTTTTACACTTTCATCCAATTGATAGGCAGGCGGTGTTAGCGGGTGTGGTTTTTTTTGAGTGGAAAGACATTATTGAAGAAGGGTTTGGGACTGACCACCAAAAGAGGAGTGAAAAAACAGAGGAAAGAACTGATAAAGTGCAGCAGGTGTTGGCTAGACATGGTGAGCAGTTGAAACACATGATGAAAGTGATGCACAGTGAAATGGAAGCCAACAAGAGGTTCCGAAAACTGAATGGATGTGCTTGGATGCTCTTGTTTTGTATAGTAGCTATGATGTATTTTCAACTAAGGAAGAGTGATTTGTACTTTTAGGTTGTTGGTAGGGAAACATTTGCCATTCATCTAGTAATGTGACTATGGTAACTGCGGTTTTAGTGTACTTTTAGCTATGGTGTATTTGAAACACATGTTTTGCAACTATGGTAATGCTGTTTTAGTGTTCTGTTTAATAGGCAACTGCGGTTTAATGTTCTATTTATACCAGCTGCAAATATTTACCAATTCATCTAGTAATCGCTTTCAATATGTGCACCAATGTACATCTATTAATCACTTTCAATAATTCTGCACCAATCCATACCAAAAGGTGCTGTAATACTTGGCAATTATAACAAAAACCAGGTCCAATGATTAACAAAAACGACCTGCAACACTTCCAATGAAAATCTGCTACAACACTAAGCAATTAAAAACACGAACTACAAAAACAGAACATAAACACTTATGTTAAACTCATAAATGTTAACCATAACCGGCTGATGTTAATGTACAAAAACAGAAGTAGAGCCCACTACAAAACATCACAAAAAAGCATGCCATATTTGACCTCCACTACGACAAAATACCGGAGGCCAAATTAAGAGTTTATAGTAAAGCTTCCATATTACATGAACAAAAAAACACCTTCCAAGCGTTCATTACTAACTCTAAATCAATACTAAACATCATGGAGTGCAATTCCTTCACTTTCATCCGGTTGTGCCCCCATTATTGACCTCCGGCTCACCTCGCTTACCACCAACTCTCCCTCTTCCTTTGCCTCTAGTAGCAGCAGCAGGTGTGGAAGTAGAAGTGGTAGGGCAAGTTGATCTATTATGGCCTTCTTTCTTGCATATTGTGCAAGTCATTATTCTCCCCTTTCTTGATAGTTGTGTTCCCGAGGAGTGATGTTCAGACTCTTCCCTCACTCTCTTCTTCTTTGGTCGTCCAGTCATTTTTTTGGCAATGGAGGTAAGATCTCATCACCTTCAGTTCTTGGCCATAGCAGGTCACCATTAATAGGGTCTAAAGTGTATGCATATGTGCTTTTATACATATCCTTGGAGTAGCATGTGTGGATAAAGTCTTCAGGATCCAATCCTTTGTTAAAGATGACACAAATTGCATGTGCACATGGGATTCCAGAGAGATCTCATCTTCTACATGAACATGACCTACCACTAAGGCTTACCTTGAACTGCTGCCTCCCTTTCTTGATCTCATATCCATCATCACCATTAAAATCCACATGCCAACCTTGACTAGCAAAAATGTTCTTATTCAGCTTCTTTGCAATCAATGGTCCACAATTTCCTACCCAATATTCAAACATATTTTTGCTTAGATATATATCAATCACATAACACATATGGATTCATACATAACTTAACCATTTTATAATAACAAATGTACCTGACCACTTAAGCACTCCATTCCTCTTCTTACCAATCCTCCTCATCATCGCAACCCGGATGTCTTCCAACATAGGTATGAGTAGCTTTTCCCTGCACTTCAATAAAGTGCCATTGAAGGGCTCAGACAGATTATTCTCAACCGTGTCACAATTCACATCTGTCCGGAAATAAGCCTTACACCACAATTTAAAAGGGTACTTTTCCAGGTCTTGAGCAGCTTCTGGGTCAAGCTTGCGTAAGTCATGTAGTGTGCGGTGTAATAGAGGTTCATTTGGAGATTTAGCACATGCCCAAAAATGTCTCCTAAGCACCATTCCACCATGCTTTTTGCTCCAATTTGCATGGATATGTCTAGCACAGTTTCTGTGCTCTGCTCCACTGAACACATGAGATATGACATTGGACAAACCCTACAAGGAAATTATTCAAATTAGTGAACTGAAATTTAAGTGAAGCAAAATTATTTTATACATAACCAATTTACTGTAAGTGTAAATATACTGATGACATACCTTTTGTTGATCAGAAATTAGTGTCCAAGACTCGGCCGTGGTAATCTCCAAGTCTTTCTTAAGAAGCTCCAGGAACCAGGTCCATGATGAACTATTTTCAATTTCAACCACAGCCCATGCTATTGGGTACATTTGGTTATTAGCGTCTCTTCCCACTGCAGTTAATATCTCACCCTTCAATTGGCCCTTGAGAAAACAACCATCTAAACCTATCACTTTTCTACAACCATCAAGAAACCCTCTCTTCACTGGACCAAAACAAATATAAATCCTTTGAAATACGGGAGGAGCATCAGGGACCACTCTCACGGTGTGGATGACAATAGTGCTGTTGGGAATAGAGTTGAGGCACTCCTGAGCATAATCCCTCAGTTTCTTGAATTGATCTTTAAAGGCAGTTTCTGTCTTCACCTTAATTTCTTTCAGAGCTCTAGTCACCATACTTATAGACACATTGATCTTTAGGTCTGCTTTGATGAGGTTTTTCAATTCTGTTGCACCTATAGAAGGGTTCTCTAATACCTTTTCCTCATACCTATCCGCAATCCAATTTTGACTTACAACCCTCAACTTAAATTTTGTATTACACAAATGTATTGGATTTAGCACCTTTACTTAGAAACAACGCAACCTGCGTTCCCAACTGGCCGTGCAGGTATATGGGCAATTTTTAGCACATTTGACCCTTACCCTCATTGGCTCGTTTTTTTGAAATAAACATCTTTCTTTTCATGGCAGGCATATCTGATAATAGCATTTTTAAATTGTCTACCATCTTCAAATAACATTGCTAACTCGATTAAAGGCGGCTCAGACTCTGGATTATATGAGGAATGTAAAGCACTCTTTTTATAACCATTACCCCCATCTGATTCAGCCTCTGAATCCATATAGTGTTCACTTTCACCGTCCTCACTTCCATCTTGTTCTGATTCATTCACTTGAGGCATTTCTTGATCATTTTCATCACGACGGTCACACATTTCTTCTTCATTCCCATTCTGTTCACCTTCAGCACAATCTACGTCAACTGCATTCCTACTCTCTGCATGTGTGGCTGGTGTTTCATCTTGAGGGTGTGGCTCAAATGGCTCATTAGGGACAAGGTGTAGGTCAACTAATTCAACCTCGTCCAAGCCATGCTCAACAAAGACTTCAATTTTACCGCAATGACTGGCCAAATGTATTAAGTGCAATGTGGTCTTGTCGTCAAACAATTCATACAGTTCCCCCATTGGATCGTGCGGTCTTTTGAAGTACAACCCTTGTATATTTCCATACCTTCCTGAGCGCAAACACTTCATAAGGTGCGGGTAACAAATGAAGTCTGGATCTATCTCCACACAATCAACCCCACCACCTTTATACATGGTTTTTGGGCGCTGAACAAATGTCCCTCCATGATGAATAATAAGTTGAACTTTATCAAACATCCTGAAATCTTAAAACAAGCAATAAAAAAACGATGAAAACTACACAAGTTGAAGCACATCAATCAACAATACCTATACTCTTCTACTCCCACGAAATCTGAAATATATAAGCGAACCCTAGAAACAATATAATTTCACTCGTAGTGGCAATAAGAATGAAGTTCGTATATCAAAACCTCGTATTTCAGGAAGGAATACAATTACACATTCAATGAAACCATTCAATGATAAACACATGAAGAACCAAGGATTACGTTCAATGAACACCGGATTACCTGGAATTCGTAACCTCGCCTCTCCGTCACTCCGTGTCAATGGCTTCAATGGCTGTAATAGGAACCAGGGACAAGAGTTAGGGATTTCAAATCATCAAAGCATGCGTCAGTTTTTTGTGATGTTGTAGACCTTTAGAATTAGCTTACTTGGATTATTAGTGACGGGGATATTTAGAGGAAGCCAAAGAGGATTGCTTGCGACACGTAGGAAGCCAGGGGGGAATTTTTTTCAGGTAACCGGTATCTTACCGGCTAATAATTGAAATTGGGCGTTTAAAGAAAGTTGAGGTGTTAAATTGGGTGATATTATGGTACGAGGGCTTAATCGCCTTTTTTGGTATAGTAGGAGGGCCTATCTGATAATTTTCCCATTTTTATATGGGGCTGACTTTTTGGGTTTAGTCTGAATGCTTTAATTTGAGCCATCTAAAAAGACAAAAACATGGACCGGTCCACGTTCGATTTCTGGAGTGATATTTGGGCCATATCACAATTTATTAGATTAAAAATCTAAAAAACTTACCTGGAGCAGACGAGCAGTGGAGCTGGAGGCACTGAGGCAGAGCCCAGAGTCGGAGTCCAGAGAGGAAGCCGGAAGGATGGCCAACGACGCAGGTCGCAGGGCCCTACAGGAGCGGCGTGGACGGCGGTGGCTCGGTGTTCCCTTCTTCGTCGCAACTCGCAAGCACTGAAGCTCCGTCTTCTTGGCTTTCGATTTTCTTTCTTCGTAATCGGCCAGTTCGCAAGCGCAAAACGCAGGTAACTTCAATTAGCCTGGAAATTAATTTTGGGGTGAGCTGATTTACTATACCTATACTAATTATAAATAAAAAGTTGGACTGGGTTAGAGCTCATCCCTGTCCTCACAATCATCCGCCCCTGCTCACCCACCAATTCCAAACCCTTTCCTTTCTACCCTAAAGCACAGTCCCTTCTCTCCTTCCAGTCTTCTTCCTCTCGCCTCTTAGGCCCTGTTTGGTTGGAAGGTTTGGAGAGGGGAGGGGAGGAAAGTGGAGGATGCCTGTGTGATTGGTCGAAGGAAATGGGGGAAGGGGAGGAAAGCGAAGGGCTTTCAAAATCTTCCACTTGATTAACACAAACTATCCTGAATTAACAAAACGTTATAATATAAAAAGGTAAAAAACAAAAAGTTTTGAAAAATTTAAAAATTTAAAGATTGAAAAAATTAAAAAATTAAAAATTTTAAAAATTAAAAAATTAAAAAATTATAAATTAAAAATTTTAAAAATTAAAAATAAAAATATTTAAAAAATAAAAATTAAAAATTAAAAATTCCACACTGAAAAATTATAAAATTAAAAAAGTAAAAAATCAAATAAAATAAAATTATGACTCATGACAATAGGAGTAATATTCACAATAGTTAGACATGTATCTATTTGTTTAAGTAAGCTATCAAATAAAAGTAAATTGCGAAAATATTTTTATTAAACCTTTCCTCCTATTTCCTCCAACCAAACACAAATTTTTATCCAAATCCTTCCCTTCCCTCCTTACTCTCCCCTTCCCTCCCCTCCTTTGAACCAAACAAAGGCTGAGGCTCTTAGTTTCTTCTCTTCAATTCCCTTTTCAATCAATTGATAATGAAATAGAAGGGGGCATAGCCATATGAAGAAAAGGTAGACACGGCGATGCAATCGCCTTTCCTAACATTGGGTTAGAGCTTAGAAAAAAAGCATAAGTTTCTCTTTGATATGCGTAAAGAGAGTTACTGAAATACTCTTACAAATACCTTAGTAGTGCACTGTTTTCAACTTGTATTGCAAAGACTGAATTAATTTATCAATGTGATTTTTTAAATGCAACTCTGCTGGCAACTTTTTATTAATAACATTGAAAGCATTCTTGTTGTTAACATGACCGGTTAACATCACTTATGTTTGCTAAGCATATTCTCAAATTTCTTTTACTGTACAAATATTTGTAAAGAATTTCCGAACATGCATGATTGGAATGTACCATATCTGATTATCACAACAATGTTTTGGTAATTTGGTAACACGGTAAGATCAAGCAATTATACATCGTGAATCAATCACACTTGTATACGTTTGAAATTTAGTGGTCGTTTTACTAAATTTAAAAACAGTAATATAGTATTGAGTATTAACCCCAATTGTTTTTAATGTAATTGTTAATTGTTAGGATCTTTTAAAATTATCTAATCTATCATATGATGTGGTGGATTGATGTAGAGTTGAATTTATGATGTTTTTTATTTGACTTTGATAAAAACTTCTATTCTTGTATAATATTTGTGATGTTACTTTTTGTATTTTACCTTCTTGCAATTGAAGTTATTTAATATGGTGTATGTATTCATTTTTAGGCTCACGCTCAATTGGAATGCTAGATCCGGCCGTGTCTGGATCTCCTAGCGACCTAGACGCTGGAGATACAAAGACACGAGTGGTCCTCACCTTCTCCCAGCCGAAGAAGACAGAAAACAAAGTTGAGGTACAGTTACTCGATCTCTCTGGCTCAATGCCTCTCTAACAATTTGCTATCTGCCTATCAGCCTCCTTTTCCTCTGAATGCATGTCAATTCCAAGTAGAAGTTCATGTTGGTTTTAGTGTCTCTGAAGGATTCTCGGTACCTATCCGAAATGAAGATTTGACTTATTTGTTTACCTTTAGGAGTTTCCTGTTTCACATTAGCTCGTGTTGCATGCATTTTTATCTTAAATGGCTGAATTTTATCGCATACAAGTTAGTGTTTAACAAGTAACGAGACTTAAAAAGAACAATTAATCATTATGTCATGAATACATGCATCCCACATAGAGATCTTGAATTCTGGATGCTATATTGCTATACATGAAGGAATTGGTCAAAAATCTGCAATGGAACACCAGTTGATACCGTGATATGAAAACCATTATTCGGTATCCATTTGTATACAAAAAGTTTACTGCCCCATCCTCCGTATTTGAATATTCGCAACAATTTCCTTTTTAGTCCGTATTTAAATAGTTGAAGCACTTTCCCTTTATGGTAAGTGTTTTATTTTAAAAAAACTCAATTACCCTTGTCTTTTCTACTTTTTTTTTCTTCTCTTTCATACTCTTCCATCCTTCTCTCCTACTTTTTCTACACTATTTACTACCCCTACTATTTTACCCGTAAACTTTGAGAAAAGCCTAATGTAACAAATAGATAAATACAGAGGCAGTATCTTATCTGATATATGTAGCATGAAACATAGATTTGGTGAAAAGAGTCAAATTTCATGGAGGTATTTTCTCTTGGTTTGGTGAGAGTAAATTTGGTTGAAATGATTGAATGTGCTGATATTTTGGTTGAAAGAAATATCATTCTAGCATAAATGACCTTAAGTTTTTTAAATAACTAAATATGGAGCAAGTAAAAACTGGTCAATTGAGTGAAACTATTCTTGCTCAATTGCAGGTTGAAGTTGAATCAAGCTACAGCTAAACTCTGGAATGCAAAGTTCACCACAAAATCTGCTTCTACTTCTGCAACATTTCCTTAGCCATGCCAAACAAGTGAAGCAGATCCACTGCCATCTCACCACCGCAGCACACCTCAGCTGTACAACTGAATGGGCCAATACCCTCCTCTACAACACCCTGATACGTGCATACCTAGGGTTTGCACAACCCACCACCACTCTCATCCTCTTCACCCACATGCTTGCCCATCAAGCCCCACCCAACAGTCACACCTTCCCTTCGCTCACAAAAGCCGTCTCTCTCCTCCGAACCAATTGGACTCCTCTTCTCAGCAGACCCCTTCATGCTCAAGCCCTCAAGCGTGGGGCATCTTCTGACCCTTTTGTACAGACTTCATTCCTTGGGATGTACTCATTGTTGGGTCAGCTGGGAAGTGCATGCAAAGTTTTTTATGAAGTTCTGGAACCATGTGTTGTGGCTTATAATGCTATGCTTGACGCGTGTGGGAAGAATGGGAATATGGGTCTGGCCATTTTAACTTTTTCTACCATGCAAGAAAGAGACATTTGTTCTTGGACGAGCATGATCAACGGGTACGCGATAAATGAGTGCTTTGAGGAGGCCGTGAAGTTTTTCAAGAAAATGATGTCCCATGATGATGTAATTGATGGCTCATTGAAACCCAATGAGGCCACTTTCGTTATCGTTTTATCATCATGCGCCAACATAGATAACACCTCAACATTGTATCAAGGTAAGCAAGTTCACGGTTATATGGTAAAGAACGTGGAGTTGAGCAAATTCATGGCAACTGCGTTGATATCTTTCTATGGGAGATTGGGATGTTTGAATTATGCAAAGAAAGTATTTGACTCGCTAAAGGTCAAAGAAGTATGCACATGGAATGCTATGATCTCGGCCTTTGCTATGAACAGCAGAGATGATCAAGCTCTGGATACATACGAGACAATGAAGTCTAAGGGGACGAAACCAAATGAGGTAACCTTAGTTGCGGTTCTTTCTGCTTGTGCACATGCAAAACTTGTGGAATTTGGTTTGGAAGTTTTCGATGCAATGTCCGAAGAACTTAAGGTTGAACCTAAGATGGAACACTATGGTTGCATTGTGGATCTCTTAGGAAGGGCTGGTCATGTGAAAGAGGCGTACGAGTTTGTAAAAAAGATGCCTTTTGAAGCGGATGCCTCTGTTTTGGGAGCTCTTTTAGGAGCCTGTAAGGTTCATGGACAGGTTGAGATGGGAAATGAAGTGGGGAAACTGTTGCTGAACTTGCAACCAAAGAAGTGTGCAAGATATGTGTTGTTGTCAAGTATTTATGCCGGGGCTGAGAGATGGGATCATGCTGCTGCCTTGCGAAGAGAAATGGTTGATGCCAGGATTGAGAAAATTCCTGCTTATAGTGTGATTCACTGAGGATGCGGGTTTGCCCTTATATCTGCAAAGTATTTGGGTTTGGAGATTTTTAAACATGAAGGCCAAAAGTTGAAAACATAGTTGAGGGATCAAAATGGGTATGAACCCTTTTAAAGTTTTATATTAACGTCTCCAAACTCTATCAGTAGGCTGAATATGGCTTTTAAGGCAAATCCTGTCAAATAACAGGGACCATCATGAGAAAGTCAGGTGGTGAGGTGGATGCACTTTTACTTCGAGTGGTAGATGCAACTTAGAAGAATTTGGGCAAGGAAGGAATTAGGAAACTTGGGTGGATTAATTGGAAATGGTATGGGCTGTGGTGGGCCTGCGGTGGAAGGGGAAATTCTCGAGAAAACCCCTATTCCTTCTTAACTTTGAAAGGAATAATTTTTTGTTTTCAGAATGATCGTTTCAGCAGAAGAGCAAAGAGATGAAGAGGCCAGGTGAATTGTCAACCCCATAAGTGTCTTTTTTCTTACTCCATTTATGCTTGGTGTTATTCTCATGAGGGCCTTGAGTCCTTGACTAATGATGTAATATTGGAGGTTTATCTGCAGTACCAAAAGAGTTTGCTAGTTTTTGAGTGAGTAGAGTTGTGGCTCTTAATACGGACTAGTTTTTGTGCTCATATCTGCCACGAGAATTCTTTTGGATTCAAAATGGTAATTAAATAGAGTCTAGTTAATATTAATTGAATAAAAAATATAACAAGCAAAATATTAGAGAAGCATATTGTGTCATAGTTATCACACATCACCAAAATATTATGTTTTTCTTATTTCACAAGGTAAACCACCACTTTGGAGTAGATGCGGGGTAACACCTACCAAATTTTATTAATAAGAAGAGAGTACAGGAAGGGAGGACGTAAAATCAAAACCTTTCGTGAAAAATCATATCTTCACAAAAACACAAATTAAACAAGCAAGGGGAAAAAACGAGAAGCTAAAGTGGTCATAGTAGAAAACATAATTTTTTTAAAAATGCAAGGCACCAAAATATTACGTAGTAAGATAGTCATAAATTAAATATAAAGTTTATTCTACAAATGTACTTTCCTAGCAACAAAAAGAGCGAAATATTATGTCCTTTTATAAGTTTATTCATAATTCCTTTGTTGCTTTCTTGGTGTAGAACGTTTGATGTTTTCCATGGGTCAATAAATCAAATTCTCCACCAATTTATATATATTGACTCAGTCAAACCAATTTTTACTGCAATCCAACACTGTCAATATATTCACTTAGCAATTTTTTTTTTTAATTAAAACCTTACTTTTATTATTATATACCGAGTACCGAGTATCATTTTTCCAATTCTTTTTGTGAATGTTAATGAAGATTTTAAAATTCAAACATTTCAATGAAAAGTAAACAAATTTGGAATTTATTTCTTTGATTACTTCAAACCTATTTGTAAAAAAAAAAAAAGTTTGCCATAAGATGTTAATTTTAGTACCTGAATATATTTAACAAAAAATTAAGGTCTGAAAATCTCGAGCGAGTTGAAAGTTCATGTTTTTCTGTCACTTTATACATAGTATTTCAAAATAAAAAAGAGGTAAAAATTGAAAATAATAATCCCAACTATTGCTGGTCCGCTAACAATAATCCCAATTATTGATTATTTTTGTATAATCCCAACTATATAGGCCATCCGCCAATAATGATCTATGACCGCATATTACCTGCTTTAACAAGTGAATTTTTAATAGAAATTAAGCGTAAAAATTAAAATTTGGGATTATTTATAGGGATTACCTGCTATATCTCTTTAGAAACTATAGAAATTTATTTATAGTCGGTCACGTCGGACCATTATTGGCGGAAGGTCCCTAAAGTTGGGATTATTCTGAAATAATCGATACTTGGGATTATTATGAGCGGACCACTAATAGTTGGGATTATTACAATCAATTTTTGCAATAATTTAAATATCTCAAAGTCTGAAAGGGTGTGAGGTAAGTTCCCTAAACTTACACATGTAATATATATACTCCAAACTTTGTATAAAACATTATGTTAGCACCATGATCATATGTTTTTCACAAATGTAATGTTATGATGTTAAATACATAATTTAAAATAAATAAAACATTTATGAGAATGCAAATAAAATTGAACTGTACTGGATGTAATATTATTTATTGCTCAAATGAAAATTAAGAATGCTTACTGCATTCTAACAAAGCTTATAGTAACCATAAAAAACAAAGCTTATAATTTAAGAATGCTTACTGTAAAGTGAAATAAATGTTGCTATTTATACTACAAAGGGGTAGTTGGATGTGTCGACATGGCGGGCTGTGGACGGCTCGATCCCAACCACCAAATCTTTTGCATTAAATGCGCTTCCCGCCAGAATCTTGGGTTCCCGCCAAGGGATGGAGACATTCATCCCCTTATGCTTGCCTGCTGCTTCCTGTTGGATTCTTGGCTACCTTCAAGTGGTGGAGACGTTCGTCCCCTTAAGCTTGCCTCCTGCTTCCTGCTGAATACTTGGCTCCCTTCAAATGGTGGAGACGTTCGTCCCCTTAAGCTTGCCTCCTGCTTCCTGCTGGATTCTTGGCTCCCTCTAAGGCATGGGGACGTTCGTCCCCCTGTGCTTGCCTCCTGGTCCCTGTTGGTGAAAGGATACGTACGACCCCTGACCCTTGGCTACAGCTTGGGTTGACTGAAGATGAACCCCTCCCGGATCAGAAGATAGGCCACCCACTGAATTGGGCCCGTTGGGACCATTTGTAGGAGGCCCTTATGGGTTAATGGGCCGGCCATTGTTGGGCCATTACCCCAACACAAGCCCCTCACTTCTGATGTTCCGAACGTGCGCGAGACATAAAGAAGTAAAATGTTTCCGCCGTACCGCCCTAAACCACCGTCCCCCACTTCTGATGTGACGGTTGCTTCTCTGGCGGCTGTCACGAGACTCTAGGTGGCAGTTATGCAGGCCGGTTCAATCTCCGATGTAAAAATAATCATTATGCGCCTGTTCGTTTCCGTGTGACACATGTTAATGGATACGCTCCTCGCCACGCATCGCATGTGGGTTGGATAATGGAGAGGCACCCTTCCCTTTAAATACTGGGCCTTTTGAAGGGATTAGGGTTTTCAACTCCCCGCATTTACTCGCCATTGCTTCCAGTGTTCTTTTGCAAGTGTTTTCCGGTTTCTTGATCCGCTCATCCTTCGAAGCTCGTCAGGTAATTGAACCTACTCTCTTTCTTTCCTCTGCTTTCATCTTTCACTTGTGGCCTGTTCCATGGAAATATCCTCCGAATCAAGTTCTGGGTCGCGCTCTTCTACCGGCTCGTCCTCTGGTTCAGATTCCGGTCCCGTTCCTCGGGGGAGGTGGGTACCTCCGGCCATTCTGGTGCCTCCATCGTGGTGGGGCAGGTTGTGGCGGATACGGCTGCTCCTGGAGATGTGGGAGAAGAAGTTGATATGGATATCGCCCTCGGAGGCGATCAGATGGTGGCGGCCCAACCAAACCCGGGGGCAGATCGCCTCGTTGATTATGATTCCGGTGATGAGGCCACCGAAGGGGATGACCTGCGGATATTTGACCTCGGTATCCCTATAGATGACTCCTGCCATATCATGCTGCTCCACAATGTTGCCGGGATCGAGCAATCTTTCTCGCGCAGGGCCTTAAAAAAACTGCAGGTCCTTCTTCCCCCGCCGATCGCCTACAGCTTCCGCGGTGCAGATAACTTGTTCAGGAAGCGTCCGAGGATGATTATGGTGCACATGGACTCCGTCAAGGTTGGACTGCGCTTCCCCCTTCACAATTTTTATCTGGAATTTTTCCGTTGTTTCGACGTTGTTCCGACACAGTTGACGTGCACTTTGTCGTGGTGTGCACTCAAAATAAATATTCAATACAACACTTATACGTAGTATAGTGCAGTAAGATTCGTATCCACAGGGAAATGAATATTTGTCTTTTATGTAACTAGTGACAAGGGGGATTTTTGATTTGATTTAATAATACTAAGATGAACAACTTATACGGAGCATGAGTTTAATTAATATAGACGAGGACTTGGTTTTGCTTTTATCCACTTCAATGAAATGTTTGTCGATCCTGGTTATATCTTTAACCATCTTCCTCTCGAATACTCAATCGAGGAGTATATTCAATTCATCGAAGGTAGTTATTAATAACGAGACGCGTTCATTAATAAAACTTACTACCGAGTCAATATAGAACACGCGCCGTATATTAACCCGATAGTAGCAATAAACTTAAGATGAAAACGATTGAGATCGATAACCTCAACACAAGCGGTTTATTGGTTTAATCAATATAATTAATTCCTCTTAGATTATTTACCATGAGACGCATGCATTAATAATCCAAGTTTACTACCGTCGAATGAACCGAATTAATAATAAGCGTATTAATCGATTGATTCTAGTAATAATTAATATATGGAAAAAAACTAGATGATGCTTTAAGTAATGCTCAAAATATTAATATGAAATATGAATAGGAAGTAATTAATATTCAAGGAAGAAGATTAAAGAAAATAACTCACAACTTACAATTTATTAAGCTTTAAAGTAGCAAAACCAAGATGGAAGAGTTTAGCTCCTCATTTGGAGACTAAACATGCTAGAAAAATATAAAGAAAATACTATTCTAAGTTGAGCTTAAGTATATGGAAGAAGGGATGATTTTTAGAGAAGGGAAAATGTGCTAATTGTAGGTGTTTTTCAACACCTTTTGGCCCGGTACCCGACCGGGTAAGGTGCTCACCCGACCGGGGTACCGGTCAAAATCAAATATTTCCCACGTTAGTGTGTTCTTCGGCACGTCCAATTGTCTCCGGTCAAGTCTCACCCGACCGGGTGAGGTAGTGAGCCCGACCGGGCCATGCAATTTCCTTGCATTTTTTGTTTTCACTTCTTACCCGATCGGGTAAAGGGTTATACCCGGTCGGCTATTTGCTCCTGGGCAGCCAAATCTTCTTTTTCTTCACTTTAAAGTCTTCCTTTCCAACACCACAAATCCTAACTATACTTTACAACTTGCAAATAAAGACTAAAAACCAATTACAACTAAAATCACACAAATGTTTACAACAAACTAAATGTTGGTCCCAGTTATACAAGGTACAGTCTAGAGGGGGGGGGGGGAGGGGGTGAATAGACTGTACCGGTTTTTAACTTTTTCAAGCTAAGAACCAGATTTAACAGGATAGCCTATTCTGTTGACAGAACAGACTCGCAGCGGATGGTATTCTGGTAGGGGTTCTGTCCGGTTAGCCTCAAAGAGATGCAAAAGCAGTAGGCCTTCTGTTAACTCACAAAACACGTTCTGCTGAACACAGAGACCAAGTCTTCAGAGTTAATCAGTTTAAAGTAAGTGTAAGTATTAAACGCAATAAGTAAATAACACAAGAGATTTTTATAGTGGTTCAAGGAACAACGTGTTCCTCTAATCCACTGTTCCACTAAGCTTGTAAAAACGCTGATTACACAACCTTAGTCCTAGCACTTAAGAGGCTCTCCACGTCTTCTTCAAGTGTAGATGTCTCCTGGGATGCACTTCCTGACTTCCTTTAAGACTAATACTTTCACTGAGCTTCTTTGAAGTATAACCACTTCACTACTCCAGTTACTTGGACGCCCTTCTTGTGAAAGAAGAATTCTTTGTAAAACAGGGGTTTCTCCAACTTGCTTCGTCACAAAGGATGTGTT